TTAGTAATATACAGTAGAAATTCAAGGAAATGAGGTTGTACTGGATCTCCATCTGATATTGAATTTGATAAATCATTATAAATTGAATCGCTGCTTGTTTCCGTCAAAAGAGCAGTTCATGTTGTAGATGGCATGATGGTGGAAGCATGATATTGAATTTGATAAGTCATTATAAATTGAATCGCTGCTTGTTTCCGTCAAAAGAGCATTTCATCATGTTGTAGATGGCATGATATTGAATTTGATAAGTCATTATAAATTGAATCGCTGCTTGTTTCCGTCAAAAGAGCAGTTCATCATGTTGTAGATGGCATGATATTGAATTTGATAAGTCATTATAAATTGAATAGCTGCTTGTTTCCGTCAAAGGAGCAGTTCATCATGTTGTAGATGGCATGATATTGAATTTGATAAGTCATTATAAATTGAATAGCTGCTTGTTTCCGTCAAAAGAGCTGTTCATCATGTTGTAGATGGCATGATAGTGTAGGCATGCGATAAACTTGAAAATGAGCAAGAAAATCGCTGGTCGGCCTAGACATATTGATTCAACTCGACGACCATTTCTGCTTGCCATCCTCTCTGACTATACTGCCCTATACAGGCCTACGCACAGCATACGGTAGAGGTCATAGAAAAAGCTTTCAAGGGCCACTATGACGATGGCACCACCAGCCAGGTGTTGCATGGGCGCAGTTTCTGTCTGTCTGTCTTGCTACCTAGTCTGTACTGGACTCGGCGTTGGAAAATTGGCTCCTTGGAGACGTCGTTGCTGACTTGGCGCAAGAGAAGATTCAACACATCCTCCACCATTAATTAACTAGCAACATGTTTCGAATTGGCGGAAAACCTGACGAAGCCGAGCTACAAGAAGCTAAAGAATCAGCTAGGAAAAGTGTCTGGTTTCAGGCAAAGATATTTATCGGTACAATCTTGGTCCTAAGGATAGGTAATAAGCAATCAATCAACCACTTGTAATGGCAGGATGACGAGGCCATAAGCATCTTGCTATGCCAATAGGCTCGCAATCATGAACCGACATTAGTCGACAAAATCAATCAATTTCATAGCGGTATATATTTCTATAGCTGGATAAAAATGATGCACTATTTGACTCATATCATAGACTGCATTCGTACCTTTTGAATAGACGTGGTGATCGGTTAGTATTTTTACGGAGCTAGACCTTATGATGCAGTCACACTTTTCACGGCGTTCTGAAAATCGCTGTGCTGTCTTACCACGATACTCGTACAAGAATTAACTTCAAGGATGCAATCATACTCTTTCTGCTCTAAACATCAATTGCCATAGGTAGTGCTGCAATAGACTACACTTGTACTTTATGAATAATCTTTGTGCTGTGAATCAATACTTTACCGTCTACATGCAGCTATACCTTATGATACAACAAGGATTTCTAAAGAGAGAATCTCTTTCTTAGTAGTCCCTGAATGAAATCAGCCGATCACACTCTGCTAGCGATCCACGTAAATCGTCATGGCTACTGCTATGGACTGCTCGTGTACGTTTTCAAATAGTAACTGTTGTGCTATTGATAAGAGACCGAGCTATACCTGATGATGCCATCAAGTAACTTCGAAAATCCCAAAATCAAACTTGTATCAACTTTTACATTGAGTCTCATGCTTGACATGTTACGCTAGAGTGGGACTACGTCTTCAATAAAACAGGGCACACTACTACAGATGGTCAAGCAAGATAGTCCATCTAGCCGGAATAGGTTGCAATGTTTTGCTAATTTGCTTATACTGTACACTATGATGCATAAACCAGCTACGAGTTGGAAATACAAACTTGAATTCGACTTCCCTTAACGAGAACATCTTACTAATAATGACTCCTGTCGACATTTAATGGACAATGTCTGTGGCATGACTAGCATGTTTCTCTAATTGTATCTGTATAAACATGATCACTTGTTAATGACGCGATCGTCAAACTGATATCTAATCTTATTAATAATCGCTCTTTTTGTCATTTCTACCTAGCGCCATATATAACCAACCGCTTCTTGGACTAAAGACTGATGGAACATCCTAGTAACCGTTTTAATGTAATCAGAAATATAAATCAACATCTCAGTTGACGGATAGACGAGAACAAAAAATAATTGTTGTGTATTATCTCGACAACATACTGTAGTTCCATACTATCGGAGCAATACTAATGACTTGAAAGTTGGCAGGCTAATGGTAACAGTAGGACCTCCAAAAATCCATTTCAAAATTCTTTATACAACATACCGAACACGATGCTAAATTAGAAACTATTGGATCCATAGATCAACCTATTTTCGTACACTTAGGTCTCGTAGCAATATTGTTTGGTTATGCTTCAATCGGCTAATCAATGATATTTACTCAAGTTTTGACTTTGTAATTTGTATCAATTTTCAAAATATGTGTACTGTATACTGTAATTTGTTACACCAACTGTGGGTCTGCTGGAAAATGCGTTAGTGTTGTCAATTTCAGCGCTCTTTAATGATTCATTAGGACTATACTGTCAACTAATTTCTGAATGTCAGCTATTAAATGCAAAGGTTTTGCTATTAAAAAACGTTGTTAAAGATATGCTTAAAAATGAACATAAATGGGACCTGTTGTTGCCTTAGAAAAATCCCGAGGATTCGTCGTGCCATGATCTTGCTCGTCCTCGTTCTTATCGTGTAGTAATTATAATGAACGGAAGACTTTTCATCCGTCATGGATTCCGATACATTTCACATATTATAGAACCTCATCATCAAAGTACTCCCTATGGCAATTCGTTTCCTTTTTGCATGCCAGACTTTGATAGGCTTATAACTAAAGCTATATTTCGAAACAAAATTATATATTAGTTATTGCTGACGAAACTCTTTCCCTAAAAAGAGAAGAGCCATATGATAACATTACCATTGTCGCTTCTGTAACATTTTGAGAGTATAAACATGTTATCAAGAGTATTCTCAAATACTAGGAAGTATCACTAAATCTGACTTTGTATGTAGAATTTATTGACAACCGAAACTTTTATGAACTATTTGAATATTTTCCGGTTGCAACGTGCACCGGTACAATAGTATACTCTCACATGCTTATGATTCAATAACTACACTGCAAAGTGTTATAGTTTCCCGAAAAAATAAAATGCCGTACAGTAGTTGCTATGGCCCCAAGCATCCTCGCTCTTTCATCCGTTGCTTGGGTTTAATCTGATACCCAAATAAAATTACAATTTCTCCTTGCTCAAGTCGCAATAACACGTTACCATCAACCACTAACTAATGCCTATTACAAATTTACCATACTTTCCATTTTTACAGTATATTACTAGCTCAGACTCCATCAAGTCATGCAACAATGACGTCTTTATTCAAGTCGGAAATCTCATCATATTTAGCATCAATACATCATTAGAATTTCGATTACAAATAATATTATTACAAATAATGTGCAGGTGATATGTAAAGTAGTCTTATCAAGACACGCCATAAATTACACTAAAATAAAACACGTGTATTAGACGAAATCGTTTACTCTGATCCTTCAATATCACAACTTGAATTATTTTCTCTTCGGCATCATTACGTTCTTGATGTTGATACTATGTTGATATCAACAGCAATGCTAAATTACTCAGTTACTTTCATTGAAACTCAACATGTAATGTCCATATCAAAATAAGTATAAAATAGCCAAATGTCTATTGCTGTATCATGTCGAGTTGATGGCGATTCTTGCACTTTAAAATGCAATCCACTAAAGCAAATTGTAACTATACTATAATCAATAAATCAAGATCATTTGCAATTAAACGTCTATGGAGAGCTCAAATACGATGCACATTGTAAGTATAGCAAAGCCAAATAAGAAATAAACGATAACCATAAAGACTGCAGTTATTTTGTCTTTTTATTACCCTGCCAAGGTAATTGAATCAGCATCTACCGCTCTCTTGAACTCTCTTTACTTATCTTATATTTAACCATCTATCTTGATTAACACGTATACCAATTAGTTACGCACTGTTGCAGCATCTTCATTTTGTGGTGGCACAGGATCTGGCTCATCTGTATCTACGCGTTTATAGATAGTAGTACCTTCCTCTCTGCAAATGAGATAGGTAGCATAGCTGATTTAACAATTTAGCTGTTAACCAGAATTCAAGTTACCACAATGTTCAGAGCAGCATTTGGAAAATGTGATTTCATTACATCCATATTACAGATAAAATAAAATTAGGCTAAATCAAAGTGTATATCGGCATCAACATATAGATCGGTTTCTATTTGAACTTCATATATGGTTGACTAATAGGGTGAATTAAGCTTCTTGAAGATTTTGCCATACTAGTTATGATGCTATCTAGCTTGGAGACCTGACGAATTAGTTACAATTGGTCGACGATGTCTTAATCCCTTCACCGGCTCATCTCTAATCCCTAAGCCCTTGTGAATACTAAAACTTTGAAAATTGATGTCTTTAATTACACTACAGTCAATCATTGGTAACGACATTGCAATAAATTTATAATTATAATGATGCTAAATGTAAGATATTAGTATCAACTAAAAATTTCTTTCTCGATACCAAGAGAATAATCAACTAGAAGGAAAGTATTATAAACAGAAATCAAACTTTAAAATACCACATACAGAATGCGAAAAGGGCATTGCATCAAATAAATATACAGTAGCGTTACCAATAGATCATTCAAATTTCGTAATTATCTCAGCTTATAGCAAATTATCCATTAATGAAATATCTGAAAATTAAAAGTCTTCTTCTATTATAATAATGAGTTATATTTGGAAGTTCTATAAACAGTAAGCAGCGATAACTTTTATACAGTAGATATAGAAGGTTCGTCATTCCAATCGATAGTAACTAAACTTCTCAAGTATCTTCTCAAATGTATCGGTCCTATTACTACCATCAAAATGGCCAACATTTAAACCACAAAATACTAACTTCTACAAGATGAAATTATTTATCAAATAATTTTGTAAGATTAGCGACTGAAGTTGGCATTGGTCATATATGCAAGAAATAGGTGTAAAGGACTTAAAGGAAATCAACCACTTTCTTATTAAATTAATATTTCATATTTAATATTTATATATATTCAACATCCTTTCCCAAAGTATAGTATTATTGTTAATACTGTATAAAAATTTCCTATTCTAGATAAAAAAATGTAATAGATAGGGATATGTTTGCAAGCCGTTTGAAGATGATGTCATTTGCAGTCAGTGATCAGGTATAGCTTATAAATTGACTATATTCCGCGTAGTAAGAATTAACTAGTCTGTATCAAATGGTGCAGATTATTTTCGTGCTAACATTTAGGACAATTAGGTGTCAGGGTATCAACATTGGATATAATTGGATCACTTCCCCTTTAGATAAATTAGTAAAAATTCCTGTATATGTGATATGGGAAATCTATTCACAGACATTATATAGCTGTTAAATTAGATTGAAAGTAGTGTACGTATACGTATTAATCTCCTAGTTCAAAGTACATTAGTTATATTGGCTCTGTTTACTAACCAGTAGAAATACCAAAGCAACTATATGTAGCTCATTGCTTTAATTATTACCTAGAAATGCTAGCAATGCCTTACCGTAATACCTACAAGTATAGTAGTAATTTATATTACAGTAGCAGAGTTGATAAATCAAGCTTCTCTACATGGCTGGCATTTGTAGACTAGATTAAGAAAGTCTCCGAATATTTTATCATTTTGTTTTCGTTCGTCATTTCATTTATACAGATACAAATAGTCTAGATAGCTCTCTATTCACGCTAGACATGAAAGAAATTGAATTATTATCTACAAGGATATATTGATAAACCTACTCGTCGACGAATGTTGGCATAGTTTTAAGTTTTTCCATATTTCTATGCCACCTTTTCATGGCGATAACGATGATAACAATCACGAATATGAAGGCAATACAGATGCCGAAAATCAAAGCTTGCTCTGTTGCTGCAAACTTGCGGATATCCGTTGCATCTAGTTATAAATTATCCAAGAGGATAGAAATCGTTTATCTTCTACATTTACATCATAAATCATGGCACTATTAGGTCTCTTTATCCAATATTTGATGGCTAATTACTGACTAACCTTCACACTCGCCATAATTGGATGGCTTTTTATGCATTATTTTACCATCACATATATAGACTAATTGTGTAGTTTCTGGCCCTAACAATATCATGAAAGAAAAGTAGTGGATTGAAATATATTAATAACATAATATTTGCGATAGCATTCAATATCAGTTCTGGATACCATGACATAAAATTGTTTTTTAAATCAATGCTATATCTTAAAAAATTGCTGTGTATTTTAACTCTTAATCTAGCTACCTAAAATCTTAATGATATAAAAGAGCAGTTTAATAATAGCAATTTTCGAAAATAAACCATGTTAAGGTGTATATGTCATGATATAGAATAGTACATTTTAGGTTATGTATCCAAACCTTATAAAATGAATGAAGGTAATAACAGACTACTAATATCCACTAATAAATAGGATCATACTCAAGAATAAAATTATGGAATAAAATCATGCTAAATCGGCATTATTTGCAATAATATGCCTATCTAATATTATACATACTGTACATTAGCTAGTAACCCAACGCTACCGGTGATCACAATAAAGTGCTATTAAATGCTTAGAAACTTGTAAAATAAATTTACTAGCATTTTTAAGTTAATTAACTAAAAGTCAATCTCGTAACTATACCATAACTTATTATATTTAGACTAGCATAGTGCAATTTTTGATTATTTTTAAAGATTGAGCTGTTACTGTCATCATTTACCTGGAACTTCGACAGGAACTAAATCAATAATAACGTCGTCTCTCTTTTGCCTTGCATGATAGGAATGATCCATATCGCCATAAGCATGTACAACATGAAGGGAAACACCCTGTGAAATAATAATCCATCCATTAACGTCCACTTTTAGCAGTATATCATACCCATGCGGTAGTCTTTCAAATCATGCTTAAATATGATTTTAATTCTCGATATTTTAAAATAAAATCATGAAAGTAAATTCAATTTGAAAGATTTGATAACCTCATCTGAAATTTGATTATTTTCACTATCAATGACTTGCGTGAATGTCATATACTTGTAGTCGCCATCTTGTACCACGCCATGATATTGATGATGATAGAATGACGAGACTGATTCCAGAACTTCTCGGTACTAGATCATGATAACATTAATGGCAAAAGCAAACTTTAATATCTTAGCGCTATCCATCAATGAGATACATATAAGACAGAATCGACACATAATGTTAAGCTTTGGATATAGAACGTCCAAAAAGTGGATAAAGGCGACGGATTGACAGTGGGTGTAGATGCGCTTATACTACAATTTTGATTATAATAAACGTATTATTCAAAATTTATCATAGCATTTTTAAATTTTCTGCAATATACTTGATTTTATGTCATTTCCCTTCAAAAAATATATTTGAAAAATTCCAAGGGTAATAAAAACTCGCTTTTCGTTTGTATATATACAATCTTTAATATTACTATAAAGACTTATGGGTATAGTAACATATTTAACAAATGCTAGAGTAAAGTCGAAATATCGAGCTAACAGCTTATACTCTAAAATTCAGTTAAATTAAATATTAGAAAGTTGTATTAATGAAACTAAAAAGTACCGGTATACTCGTATCATACTACGGGTAATAGGCAACATTAAGTTCTACCAAGACCTATGAACAGTAGATTGCTATAGGCTATACCTAAAATCAGGAGCTCAATTCAGTAAATTTTATCACAAATTCACAATTTGCTCTAAAATACGTTGAAAAATACTGTGTAGCATGGAAAGCCCTGTTATAGGTAGTTTTTTAACTATTACTAACGTCTATTCCTAGATCATCAAGTATTATAGAATATGAATCGTTTAAATTTGATCTCAAATGTAATACGATTTATAAAAGATTATATATGGTAACTAGTGTCCAGTTATAAGCATATATCCAACGGTATCATTAAGTTTCACTAATCGATTTATATACCATAATTTGCAAAATGTTGCCCTATTCGGCTGTAGACTTATTGAAGAATTGTTATATACTATAGTCATCAATCTGTATTCAACCTCTTTTTCATGCGGCTTTTGCTCACGAGCCCAACCAAAATGCCATTCAAAATCACCAGCTCGTCCAGTCCGAGATAGACCGATTCCAATCCAACTATTTGATTTAGCTCGAAAATGGAAGCTGACAGAATTACCAGCTATGTCTGCTTCCCAAGACAATTTGACTTGATCTGGGCGATGTAAAATTCGTTCGCCACGGAATATGTTATCATCTTCCTCGGCGGCAATTAAGGTAGCATAAATGGCAATTGTTGCTATCCAGAAAATTCGTGAGTGCATATTCACAATTTATTGGTATATTAATGAAAAATAGATATTAAAATGAATATTCTTAAATTCTCTGAATCAGTCTTGATGAAAATCGGAAATTTTATTAGTGTGTTCTAGCCAGAGATTTGATAATGTTGTTAATCGAATGTAATTTTCATCATCAGTTTTCAATACGTTAAATTGAACTACAACTTGTTGTTAGATGGATTTTTATCTTCTTAATTGCAAGATATTAATAAGAAAATCGAGCAATTGCATGTCATTAGTAATATAATAACAATATTGCTAGCATATGTTCAATCTAGTGGTATTCCATATTGATCATTATCATATGGCTGTTATAGTTATGTGAGTTCCAAGAGTAAGTGGATAATATGATTGTATGATAATTAGTATCGAAATACGATCACAGCTGTGGTCATCATCATGATATTTAAACACTAATTAATTAATATTGATTTAGTTGTGATGGCCCTGGCAATATCTATATTGATCGTAATAACGAATCTATATGTTAATATTCCTACAATAGTAAAGTTACCGTACTGCACCGGTATGAAATCTACTGTATTATATCAAGGAATCAATATGACTCTAAATCATATTTTTAAGTTTGTAGAATAAGAATATTTGGTAACGGAAAATTCAAGATTTTATTTTCTTATCATGTAATAGATAAAGTATTGGATCCATTTTTCATTTCGGAAAATTAGATTATGGTCTAGATTTTGAACTACTTGATAGGTCTACTCATAAATAAATAGCTATTAACTATATCCTACTGCTTAGATATACAGTATTGTAGAATATATAAAATTAAGAAATGATCATAGAATGATATTAGGATCTAATCCCAACTTGTATAAACACTATATCGGTTCTTCCTCCAATTTGCATCCTGTCCTTGATATTTAAGAGTGCTCTGATTAAGCAGATGTTAAACTGCAGGATTCGATGTTACAGGTTTGCAACTTATCGCTGCTCAATGGCTTGCATATCAGAATATAGAAAAGTGAAAATGATTATTGATTACCTTATGTAGATCTGATGTAAATTATATGGTGAAAATAGTCACTAATTACATACATGATACACTACAGGCACGAATTAAATGTATCTTCAATGACCAATTCTACCGGAAATTGTAGATGTAGCAAAAATGGTAATGAACTACTTCGCATTATATAATGCATTGGTGGATTTATGGTTACTTATTGATTAATCCTATCAGAAATTATAATATAGTAAAGATGGTTAAAGATTACGATGTGCAATAAATTATCTCAGCTGAATTATGAGGTATTGACTATTTAATGATAAAGTCTATTGAATAAACTACACGGTTCATCAGCTATACGATATATCTAATTATATACCTATATTTTCTACCTCCCCTTTGACCGAATCTAACATAATTTAATGCTATAATATAGTTTCAAGTATCAATAGAGAATAGATTAATTACTTCCTGACCGTCACTAGACGATGTATTCAACTATGCTGTAAAACCATACCGGATAATAAATATTCTGAGTAAGTGAAAAGTATCTGTAATAGCTATAAGCATTAATTATTAATTGGGAAAGATCTAACTTCTATCTATTTCAATCATCGTTATAATTTTTTTGGAAATTTAAAATCTTAAAAATACAAAATAAAGTCCTAAATGAGATCGCATCGAAAAATTTAGGTAAAACATCAATACTAGATTAAGTAGCGTCATGAAAGTAATGTCTAATATTTAATTCAAGATCAATTCAAATAGATGAAATTGCTATCTCTTAAACCATTACAATGATAATTCTGAGCAATGTAGAAATTACTGGTAATGAAGAATAAATAATAATCAGCTGCTGTATTCGTCATCCATTCAGAAATCCAAAAGTATTTATCGTATTTCTACATTTTTATTATTTCGTTAAATAGAGCTTAAAAAACAAAAGTAATTATATGTTAGAATGGAATACTTAATAAGAATATTTAGCCTCTGGTATAGCATTGCTTAAAGAAATATTACAGTGCAATATGATGTAAAATTGATCGAAACATAGACCTCTGCTAACAGTAGCTGATATAGAGTAATGTCGTTAATTTAGCGAATATGTCATTAATAGATTTTGGTCATCATTTCTGTAAGCTTGCAGAGTTTAGCTATAAATAATGATTCGAATTAAAAACAGTATTAACTTGATTCAAATATGACATCTAATGATGATTACCTTCAGCACAAAATTATGCCATAATAATATCATATTATACTATGTTCAATAGAGAACTTTGAATGAATTTAGCAAACAAATCTCGATACCAATATAATAGGATATAAACATTTGATTATATGTACAAAATTTGAATAGAATTATTAATAGCTTTCTGATTAATACTATAACAGCTGCATAACGAAAGATGTTCATTCTTTAGAGGCCTCTGAGATTGTAGTTATTATTTCAGATCCAAATAAATTCATAATTCATAGTAGTAGTCATGAATTCAAAAATCGTACCGGAGAACCATATTTTATTTCAGTAATTTCTATCTAAAAAATTATAGTATCTTAGTGTAATAAAATAGCTCAATAAATAGATTTTATGCAGTATTGAACCACATGAAGAATACTATAGCTAAGGCCATGTCATCAACACAATGATGTAAAGTAATTATGTTGTAATCCATCATAATAACTACCTAAAATGCAATCAATATCTTTATTATTAACGGTAAACTGCCAAAAACAGCATGAACAATGATAATTTTTTTGTTAGTGAATTTTTAGTTGCTATAACTACATCCAAGTAAATATATAAGGTTAGTATAATTGATAGTCGAATAATGATATTTCTATTTGAAATTAAAACATCCGGAACGGTAATCCAGTTATTAAAGTGCCACAGTATTAAAATATACAATGTACTGATGTTATGATTTTTAATTTAAATACTTTAGATAGATAGAAATATTAGTAAGACCGCATTATTGGCATCGATAAAGTGCTACAGCATGAGTATATACGCGTATATAGTACTTTTATATAAATGCCGGATGTAATATTATTCGATTATGTGACCTATAATTACTTTTTCTAAATTTTATTATAAAAATCAGATAGCAATAAAGTACAGTATATGATAAACTATTATTACATTTATTTCAATATTGGCAGAAATAAGGTAGCACATTAAATTGTTTCTGGTACAAAGAGAGTACTCTAAAACTGTAATGAACGGCACGCAGTTTCGTATAAATGGTCATGCATGCTTCCTTAACCAATTAGTACCCTGCAAAAAGTATTAATTAAATTTTTGATACATATAAAAGTAAGGTAGTATCACCAGTATAACTACTACAAACATGATCAAATACGCGTAGAGATCAAAGTTATGATATTCTTACTAGCAGATTTATTCCAAAATACTTTAATTTTTTAATTTTTTATAAGCTAATAACTTTTATGTAGGTTTTGACATAAAAACTTAACAGCAGCCGTTATAAATGTTGAAATAATTATGAATTTATCAAGACCTTCGAAAAACATGATAAGAATTGTATAAATTTTAAATTTGATTAATAAACGATGTAGTAATAGCAATAGCACTGAGAATATTCGTTAACATCGTCAGTATTACCGTATCTAATTACTATTCCTTATTGCCAACCGCAAAAGTTAAAATATTATTTTGCTGCAATGAAGATAAATTTATGGAAGGTCATTTTTCTGAAATAGAGAAAAAAACTTAGTTCATTGATATAGGCAATTTTAATCTACACGTATATCAAACAACAATGACAATGATTAGTGACTATAATTTTCATAAGAGGGACTGAGCTTTGCGCAATGCTGTGGCTTTCATTATTGCCATAGCATCTGTTCGTAAACTCCGAAACATCTAAATTTCACTATAGACATTAAAATAATGATTACCAGTTCCTGAAAATTTATCCATCTTTATACATACGAATAATCATGTAATTACTATATATATGAACGTGGCCGTATGCGAAGTCGGTCATTTTGCAAACTGCCCAGTTTGCAAAATGACCGATTTCGCATACGGTCACGTTCATATATATTATTTATAAAGGAATACGAAGGAGTAATTCTAACACGCCCCATTTTTACTATTATGTACAACATTTTATAATTTTATAGATGTTAATCGTTTATTTCATAGATTGGATATTGTAGTTTGGATGTTGTATGATCTATATCAAAGTTACTAAGAAAGAAATTAGTGTTGATAATTTCCTAGTTTGACTAAAGAATTTTCAGCAATTGATAATACAATATCAAAAAAGTTAATCGGATACCAAAAATAAGATAAAGGTAGAGGAAGCTATGAAGACTTTAATTTGTGAAGAACTATCTATGGGATAATGGTAAGGTCAAAAGACTCATTACGTTTTCGAACTGAATTAGTGTGTGGATAATCTTAGCCTTAATTAGATCGCTTATGCAACCTTAATTTATAATTTATCTTGACCTCTGAATCTTTTCATTTGTTTGTCATTGGCTCAGATTTGATCCCTATAAATCAAGCCGCCAGTTATTATAAGTTTATTAAGAATGTAATATAAAATTTTTGCCCTTTGAAACAACGTGGATAGAATTTTAATAGCGACCGCCGGTAATGTATTCCATAATTTATTTGATAACATTCTGATAAATGAGGTAACCTTAATGTAACTCGTTTTTTAAGAATAATATCCTGATCATTCATATTAAGTCTATTCATGGCAAGTTATGCCATCGACTCCTGAAGCTGAATCATCATTACTTTTAAAGTAAATCAACGACTGCACACTTGATAAAAATTTTTGCCGTATTAAAATGCGTTAAAATTTATGCTCAATCTGGCATAGTAGAATAGCATGCTGGCTATTCTACTAATATGCCTCAAATTTACTGTTAATTAACATTATGATCTGTAATTTATTTTTATTAATTAATTAGATTTACCTATAACATTACATATTAAATCTTTTATTTATTGATATCATTGTATCTCTTGGGT